GCAAAACGCCGCGCGGGCCTCGCTCATTGAAGGAGTGGAATTGTGCTGAAGCAGATTGAATCGAGTCAGAGAAGAGTAAATCATAAAAAAGGTCTCTCGCTCAGAGCATACATCATCGAAGCTGCTGATTGCTGCAAATACTAGGCCCAACAAACGTTCGCGTCATTGTCAATCACAGGTCAACGGTCGGTCACCAACACTCGCGACTCGCGGCTGCTGTATACTCACCATCACCCTCCATGCAAGTTACAGATGGCGTTCCAAAAGCGCGCGCTGCGGAATTCGGCAGCACCTCTGCGTGCACGCTGCAAAAGTGCTGATTCCGCGGTTCGTCTGCTGCCTGCGTGCGTGCATGGGTGTAGTATCCCCCTTCCTCTCCTCACGCTCTCCAGTGCTGTTGAGAGAAGAGCAGGTAAAGTTGCCCCTGCATGTTGCCGCATCTGAGATTCGAGCGTCTTCTCGCTCCGATGTGCATGCAGCAAGCACACGATTGCTGTGCCATGCCATGCTGGTGATTGCATGGAGAGTCGTGAATGTGAATGTCAGTGTGAGCAGGTGTGCTCCTCTCATCATGCAGTCACCGCTGACGAGTGTACAGTACGCACGGATCAACGTGCTGTGCGTGCGTGCGTGCGTTCGCTCCCATCACCCACTCACGTACTGTTGCTGAGAGGGCCGTGCCGCGCGCGCGCATGCCGTCAGAAGTGCGGGGTAGGCCTTAGCGAAGCGCCACTTTTGACTTTTGCAGATCGCGCGGCCTTCACTCTGCGTGCATTGCATTGCATTGCATTGCATTCACGTTCAGGGGAACGTATAGAACAGGTCCTCTGCCTCTTTGCTGCTGCTGCTGATGATGCTGATGCTTGGATCGGCACAGCTCTTGACGAGGGCGGCACAAGGTGCAAGGCACCTACCTACATGTACCTCCTCATCGTCTTGCTACCTATATATGCCTCACCGTCCTGCTCCTTATTCCTCCCATCCGAACGTAATCGTCCGCTCACCACCGCTTGCTAGACACGACCGTCACTGCCCGTCTGGTGATCCAACGCTTTCACACTGCCCTGTTGACGAGCGCACCGATCTTCAGGCCTCTTCTGCTCCCCAAACCGCAAATCGTCATTTGCAAGGCATTCGAAAGGAACACCGCGCAAGGATCATCCGTCATGAGCGCCATGGCAAGCAACCCACTGCCTTCGCTGCGAGCAGCCCTGGAGCCTCTAGGCAACATGTACATGTCTTCGAGCCTTCGCACACAAGGCTGGAACGGTTTCTCTCTTAGCCTAGCTTCCTTGTCGAGCAGCACCAAGTCCATCGCTGCTCCGCTTCTACCGGCCGTCGGGCCCATCTCTCTTTCGAACATGGCACAAGCAATCAGCTCGGCACCTCAACAGTTTGCGCAGCTCTTGCAATCCATCTGGATCACCTGCTGCGCTTTCCCAGCCAATAGCGCTGCTCAATTCTCGCTCGCCGGATCCGCAAACACTCTGGCTTGGCTAGCTGCAAACACCGCTTCCATCATCGTTGCCTTCTACATCTTCTGGCACATTCTCGAACCACGCGTCAGCAAGATGCGAAGCGTCGAAGACTTTTTCTACTCTTGAAGCCGCAGCTGTTAGGTCCGCTGATTGCCCCCCTCCACCCTCCTATTGAAACTGGCACGTGCGCTCAGCCAGATTTCAAGCTTCCGGGCCCGGGAGCTTTTTTTTTCGGCTCAATCTCCCCTGCGTAGAGGTACGGGACACGTCGTGGTCACGAATCATCATCTGTCACCACGAAAAGAAAGGGGGGGCAAGGTTCGGGACAAGTCCTTGCTGCGCCGCCGTTCTAGCGCGCCTCTCGTCAATCCTTCGCACAATGCGCCGCATGCTGGCTGGCGCTTCTCGGTGCAGTGGTGCAGTGCAACAAACAACCTCTCGCATCTTTAAAATCCGTTCTTCGTCTTGCGCTCACGACTCTCGACATTCCAGGCATCGCTCAACACAAGTAATGATACGACGCTCTCCACCCCGCCTGATCGACGGCTCGTTCAGCGATCTGAATCATCATCACAGTACACGAACTCCTCACGCCACCCCCCCGTCTCGCCGCCTTGCTCGGCCCGATTCAGATCTGGTCGGTCTCTTTGTCACTCATCTGTACAGATAGCCTCGCCATGCATTAATACAGACCCAAAGGATTTCCTCGAACTCTATCATTGCATTGTTGATATGCTCTGAGATGCAAGTAGGGAGCGTAATGTGGACACGGGTTGATCGATGCGGAGTGGGAGTGCCATCGCAGATGGTACGAGGTAAGCCAGCTTGAGAGTGTGAGGGAGTCAAGAGGGAGCGGAGCGTTCCAGCGCTTGCTGTGGGCCTAATGCCTCAGTTCAGGTTGGGAAAGAGGTTGACGTCGGAGCGATTTGCAATGCCGATCCTTCGATTCGTAGCCTTGTTGTCCGTAAAGGCAAACGAGACGATGTGGTTCTTGATGAAAGCAGTTCCAATGACGGCCAATTGTTCAGAACCTTCCTGAATGGTGGAAAAGCACATGTTTTCTCTTCCTCCCGTCTCTGAAGGGTCTATGGGACTGTTTGGCCAAAATACGAGATCTTCGGCAGGAATGGCAAACTGAGCTCCATCCAGATCCACCCAAAATGGCGGCGTCCTTTGCGCAGGGGGCAGTTGACGCTCGTATTCGACCAGCCCGGTGGCGCAGGGAACGAGCCATTTTGTGCCGAGCGAGGATTCTGCCGCATAGTACGACCCGGCAATCTGTGCGTTGCCCAGCGCTGCGCTTCTGCTCGACAGGTACAGAATGGAGGAGCCAGTGTCCAGGATGAAGCGCTTGTTGTGATCATCGTCATTGAGATGGTGGTCGCCCATGCGCAGCCCGGCTCCGTGTGCACCCCAGTAGTACGTGCTAGTGGAATCAATCCACTTCATTTCCCCGTCCATGTTGGGTTGTTTGACATCTCCAAACGTGTATTGGCCTCCGCCTCCTTTACCTGTCCTGCGGTCCGCCTTGAGCAAATTGGCGGTGAGCACCGGGTACGCCAGGGTCCCGTCCCGCGTCATCTTCTCGAAAGGCGTGACCCAACCTCCACGCGTGGGGCTGAGAGCGCCCGGACTGAAACCTAGCAAACCTTCCATCTTCCTTGATGCACGCTGCTGACCGTTGACGGCGAGCGCAAGGCCAATGGTCGAGTCCGGCACATTGACAGACGGATTTCCAATTTGCATCGTGTCGATGCCCAGGTACCCATCGGTCCCTGAGCCGCCAGCGTAGGATGTGCTCCACCACTGGCCTTGTACGCCGGATGCCGCACGGATGGGCCGGCCGTTAGTAGAGAGGGTGCGGTTGGAGAATGTGGAGGAGGCGGCTGGATCGAAGTAGTGGTGACTCTTGCCGTAGCAGCACGACGGCGAGTACTAAGAACACCAGGGGAGAAGCGGGGATTCAGCTCTTCCCGCTCTCCTCATCAAGTAAGCTATGCCATCGAGCTGATACGCACCATCCAAGAGTCGGCTGAGCCAGTGTCGACGACCATCTTGATGGGTTGTGAGGGTGTACCAACGCCGACTTCAATCAGCCACTGATCAACAGGAGTGCGGTGGACGTTCGGTCAGCATCAAGATGACCCTTGAGACAAGAACTTCGCTTTTACAACTCACTTCGTTGTCCCTTTGAGTGTTGGACGCGCGGGCTATGCTCAAGCCAAGACCCTCATCGCCCACCCACCGGCGATTCTCGCCCCTTTTCGTAATATCGCCGCCCGACGCTCCTTCTGCTCTGGCCTGCAAACGATCATTGTAAGAGCGTGAGTGCAAGTGAGATGGTCTGGCTGCCCTCTTCTGCACGCTGGTGGGAATGTCAAAGTTCTTGTCGAGTTCTGACTCCAACTTGGCCATTTCTTGCGAGGCCCGCTCCAGTACGTCGGTGAGAAAGGGCGGATGAAGTATGCGGTGGGCCATGACTGACATGTGGTGCTTGCCATGATGCTTGACGGGGTCGTGAAAGACTTGTGCTTGCCATTGCGACGGCGCTTGTGTCGTAACTTCGCCATGGGCGCTGTGGAAGGAGAGTGAGAGCGAAAGCAGCAGAGCTACGAGGACATTGTGACGCCGCATCCTTGTGTGTGAGGCCAGAACCGAGGAAATGTAAGGAAAACGAGGCAGTTCAAATAGTGCCGTTTGGCCAGACGATGGTTCGATGCTGAGTGACGGCAGCACCTTGCCAGAATCGATGGGGCTCAGAGCGAAAACAACGACACCGAAGGTCGGCTTTTATGTCCGATTCGCTGTTATCGAAATTGTTGCGAGGAGGGAAGGATTGGTGGCGTGGCCGGGAGCCGGGGTTGCATGCTGAGGCGGGAATAGACACCGAGGTACGACGCTGATGCCGGATGAGGTGACCTGCGCAGAACAAAGAGCGGTTGTGAGCATGCTGTCTCCTTCAATTTGGGGATACTGCGTGATACGGTTGTAGGGAAAGTGAGCGAATCCGAGTATATGCGCACATTGTTGAATCTATTTGGTGCAGTCTCCCGCTCAGTCCGAGGTCCAAGGTAGTGTGTATACAAGGTTGGATTGCGGAAAGGTCGCGGCGGGCGAGCTGAGCGTGTCGGTCAACACTATCCGCAAGGCTTGGCGCTTTCATGTCTCATCTCAGCGCATAGAATCAGCAGCACTGCAACGGTATTTGGCATTTTGCGACCCCCTTTGGACATTCGGGGGGGGCAACGGCGCTTCGACATGAGCCTTGGTCGGAAGGGAGTCTCATGGAACGCGCGGACATCATGGCGATCCACTGGCGTGTCAGCGCACCAAACTTTGACCCTTAGCCCCTCCCCCCTGAGATCGTCTTAGCTGTTGCATTCCGAGATTGTAATCTGTACGGTGGCGGAGGCTGCGCGGCGATTCTGAATCTCATGGCACATTTTCGGAACCCGCTCCGCGTCACAGCTCGCCAGCTGAGGGATGAGTGTATGAGTGCCGAACGGAGCTGGTTTTGCAGCTCGGCCAGCGCAACCACAGCAATGAATGGTGCTGGATGATCGAGGTATGTCTAGATGTGAAGTTCAGGTGAGCAACGAACGCCATGCCGCCTGTAACGGTCGTGAATCAAGCGCCGGCAGGCAGGTACGACCCCTTGCGGTAGCCTGATTTGCGCGCGGACTCGCCTCGATCGCTCCTGCGTCGCAACAGCCTATAATTTGAATAACGGCGTCATGCACGACCCTTAATTGAACATTTTCAACTCGAATTCCGCTTGGACGCGCGCGTAGAGCAGCACGCTAAGGATGATTTGATTTTGAATTCGCTTCACTGATCGAGGTTAGATAGTCATGAGTAGGAGCTTCAAGTCTCAGGGATGTGAAGTGTATCCTAGAATCATTTCCTCTGATTGCAGTCTTTCTTCTTGATGGCTTCACTATGTCTGAACTCCGCTTCCTCAGTAAGGAGGATTCACGATGCTCAGAGGCTCCGACATCGAAATCACGGCCCAAGCTTCACGGATGCGCAGGTGGGCAATCACGAAACATTCAGGGTACCACATCTACACGCCGCAATCTTGGGTTCTGAACTTTGCGTTGGCTCGAGCGGCTAGCGATGTGTTGAGTCATCATACAACATTCTCGAGATGATCCCTGAGGGAGAGCTTTCTGTTGGGCACTACTGCACGCAATCACTGTAGAATCCTCAACACTGGCACTCGCAGCCACGACGATGCGATTCGCAAGGTCTGAACTCGATCGATGAAGCTCAGTAAGCGTTCGTGAAATTTGTCGTAGCGGGTCTGATCAAGGGTCGTAAAGCGACATCAAGAAAAGGAGAATCTTGCGCTATGCATTGGAAGCTGGGCTGTGATACGAAGGTCCGCGCGCCAGTAGCTTGTAGAGACCTAGACGCGGCTTCTGCGTTGCTCGGTAGTCCTGGACAACTATTTGCGCTTTGCAGCCACTTTGCTAGCAGCCTTTTGCAGGCCAGGCGAGGTCTGATCATCGCCAGAGTAGGCATCCTTGAGCATAGACAGACGGTTGTTGTCGCCGATGCCCTTGCCAAGGCCGTTGATGACGTGATTGACTCCCGTTCCGGCTTTTCCAGCAAAGCGCACGATGGAGACGTGTCGCACAAGGACCACCTTGATGGCATAAGCCTCATCAGAGACCGGCTGCTCGACTGCGGTATAGCTGACCACACCCTCGCCGCCGTTGACGAAGACGGCGTAGATACCCAGCCCAGTAGCGAAGTGGGATTTGACACTGGGAGCAACTTTGTAGGATGCATAGCCCGGAACGCGCGAATGGGACCAGACAGCGTTGTTGGGCGGGTCGTATGGAAATTCGCTCTGAGCACAGTAACAAGCAGATTTTGGCTTAGTGATCACGAATGCACGCTCTTGCAGCGAAAAGGCTGCTCACCTGGTAGAAGAACACCTGTCCACGTTCACCGTTCCAAACCGTTTGGTACTGCTGAAAGTGTTCAACAAAGAGCCCGTAGATGGTGACATCATCTGCTTCGACGAGCAGACCAACGGCAGCCTGATTATCGTACCAACCGACACCTTCACCGTGATCAGCTCGCCAAATCCAGGTGTTGTCGACGATCGTGTCGCGAGCATTGATGGTCATGCAGGTTGTCGCGCGGCCCAAGCCAGCACCGCCGACGCGGCAGAAAATGTCGTGAAGCACGATCGGGTTGTGCGAGTGGCAAACGGCGGATTTGGCGTCGCCTACCGTGATGAGGTTGGCAGAGTTGCGGAAGCCAGCGTCCAGCAGCAATCCAGACACTGTCACGCCATCGACATCAGCTATAGTCACAGCGGCCGTGCCATTTTCGGGTCTGAGGGTCGCAAGTCCGATGCCAAGCAGAATGGTGTTTGGCTGCGTGACAGCAAGCGCTTGGTCGAGCGGATATACGCCAGGACCGAAGACGATCGACTTGCCAGAGTCCAGAGCAGCGTTGATGGTCGAGGCCGTGTCCTTGAGCGGGGAGGCGATGTAGAAGCTAGAGAGTTCGAGCACCACATCAGCAGGAGGAGAATCGCATCCGGCGTCCTGCGACTCGACCCAGCTAGGTCCAACGCTGCTGAGCTTGAGTTGCGGCACGACAATCTGCAGGATGCCCTTTTCGTTGACGATGGGATACGGCTTCTCGCGCAGCACAGGAGTGCGCTTGATTGTGGAGAAGGGCTTGGCGGGCCAGTCTTCCGGTGGAGCGCCTTCATCTCCAACAAAGACTTGAGCGTAAGACCCGCCTGTCCAGCTTCCCATGCTGGTGTTACGAGTGATGAACTGCTGCTGTGTGCCATTGTCGATGTTACCCGAGACTTTGCAATCGGCGATGAAGCCTCCGCTGGACCAGCCACCATGGTCAGAAAGGACCACATTGCCCTGGACGCTGATGCGACGGAAGAAGGTGGCTGCGAAAGATGAACAAGCAGATGACCACGTCAGAACAAGCAGGGTGACAGCACGTAAATAGCGAGTTGGGCGGCGCACCCTGCGACACAGCCCACACTAGGATCTTTTGATCCTCTTCGATGGTCGGAATGACTGTGAGATTCTCGGCGCCTCTCCAAAAGTTCAAGGTGGCATTGTTGTTCTCCATCCAGTCGGCTTTGACCCGAACAGCGCCTTCGACGATGGTATCTTCCGGAGAGCGACCCAGACCGTGTACAGTGGTGTAATAGCCGATCTTGACATCGCTGTGCGTAAGTGCGGCGAGGAACATCAGTGATCGGGCGGTGTGATGAGCGCGCGCAAGTGATCCGAGGACGTACAGCTGATATTTGCCGGGCATGAAGAGGAGAGCGAAGCGGTCTGAGCCAAATTGATTGGTCTCCTGGGCGCTGAACACCTCATCCACCTGGGCTTGAATTTCGGACATCGACTGATCGGGAGAGAAGATGTACTGCAAGGACAGTGGCCAGAGCGCAGCTGGTCAGGAGACGTAGGCGAAGGAGAAGGCGTTGACCACAGCTACTCACGACGCGACTGCCGAGCTCTGTCGGGATTTGTGCGTCGGCCTGCTTGGATTCGGCAGCTGGCGTCATCTGGCGCTTCACCTCGCCTTCCTTGCCGGCTTCTTTCTTTGACAGGCCATCTGGCGTGACCTCCGAGCTGAGGCTCAACTTGGCCACAGCCAGATCGAGAGACTGCGCGCCATTGGCTTCATCTCCGGGGCGCTGACAAGTCAGGACATCATGGTCAGACAGGATGTCGCTCGGGTGCCAAAGCGTGGCACACTTGCAAACGACTCACAGGTGTGGATGGTGCAGAGCTGGACTTGCCATCCTTCTTGCTGTTACTGAGCGTCCTCAAACGAATGTGGTCCAGGAACGTCTTGGAGGATGGCTTCTGGTGCGGCTTCGGCTTGGTGGCTGCAGCGTCCGCCTGCGTCGAAGGGGAATCAGGCTCGCCTGGAAAGGGCAGCTTTGTGGCCGGTGAGATCACGCTGAGACGATGAGGCTTGACCATTGCGCAGGGGATATGCTTTCAGGGCTGGATTTGGAGGAGAGGCGGGCTGTCGGGCTGGCGTTTCGTAAAGCGTGAGAGGTCGTTAGATGAGAGCAAGACGTAGTCGATTAGATCTTGATCATGAAGCGGGTTCAAGAGAGAACCTTCATATCCCTTGGCATGACTTGTGTCCTCCCAGCTTGCCAGGCTCGTCAAGAGCACTCTGTGAGTCTGACTCCTAACGATGCCTCGAGGTGCGACTCAAGACTCGGTCCGCGTCGCGTCCACGATGTGAGCATGCAATTGCCGCCCAGTCAGAAAGAGTATTAAAGGGGGATGGCGAAGCCATGCAGGAGCGGATCCGCTCTTGACTTGAAGAATCATGGGGACAGCGGGTCGCACGGACCGCTCGCTCTACACATGCAGATGAGTTCAAGCTATAGTCATACGATGTAGGGCCGCCCGCCGTTGACGACTCAAGCTCGAAAGGAACATCGACGGCGGGGCGCCGAAGCATTTACACATTCACATTGCAGCACCCTTGTTGTATAGACTCGTGACTGCGTGTCACGCGCGGAAAGCCTTCAGTCGGCGCTTTGTACCTTCGTGATATTTGTGAGTGCATGCTGCCCATGCTTCCGACCACTTATCGTTCGATATACGCGCAGCCGCGGCGCGGGCCGACGAGGCGAAATCCAAGATACAGTTTACCGCCCGCACTTTGTGCACGATTCAAGCGCAAATATATAGAGACACAAGAGTGAGAGATACCTAGCTATTCGTGATGGTGGCGTGACGATGACTTCATTTGCGAGAGAGGCCTAGTAGCTGAGGGAGTCGCGAGTCGACAGGCGTGGAGTCTCCGCTAGTCCGCCTGTGCGAAGCTCAAGCTCATAGCGCCATGCACAACATGAGCGAGCGGCATGCGATCTTGAGTTAGCAGCAGCAGCAGCATCATGCACGATGCAACCCGCATCCTTGGGACCAACAGACCGCCCGCAGCAGCAG